TGAAGGCTCGAAACGCTGCCTTCAGAGCTGGAGATGAGGTGGGCCTGAAGACAGCTAGGGCCAACCTATCCCGCGGCATCAGAGAGGCTACAAGACAGTACTCCAGGAGAATAGCCCATTGTTTCAGCGACAGCAGTGACACTCTGAGCCTGTGGCAGGGGATACAGACCATTATGGACTACAAGCCCCCACCGCGGACCTGTGACAGCACCATCTCCCTGCTGAACGAGCTGAACGCCTTCTTCGCTTGCTTTGAGGCACAAAACAGCACCACTGCACAGAAGACTCCACCTCCTCCCGGCGACCAGGTGATGACGCTGTCCCCAGACAGCTTGAGGAGATCTCTCAGCAGGATCAACGCACGCAAAGCTCCGGGTCCTGACAACATTCCTGGGCGTGTACTGAGAGACTGTGCAGTGGAACTCACCGATGTCTTCACAGACATTTTCAACATCTCGCTAAGTCAGGCTGTTGTCCCCACATGCTTCAAAGCTACCACCATCATTCCAGTCCCGAAGAAGTTGTCTCCATCCTGCTTCAATGACTACCGTCCAATTGCACTTACCCCCATCCTCATGAAGTGCTTTGAACGGCTAGTCATGCACCACATCAAGTCTGCCCTCCCCCCGCTCCTTGGACCCCTTCCAGTTTGCATATCGGTCCAAGCGCTCGACCGATGACGCCATCGCCACTACCCTCCACTCAGCACTCACACACCTGGACAAAAAAGACTCATACGTCAGAATGCTGTTCATAGACTTCAGTTCAGCATTCAACACAATCATCCCTCAACAGCTCATTCTCAAACTGGTCCAGCTGGGGCTCAACACTTCGCTGTGCAACTGGCTGTTGGACTTCCGGACTGGGAGACCTCAGGCAGTACGGGTCGGCAGCAACACATCCAGCACCATCACACTGAACACTGGGGCCCCCCAAGGATGTGTGCTGAGCCCCCTCCTCTTCACTCTGCTGACCCACGACTGCACACCGTCACACAACTTCAACCTCCTTATCAAGTTTGCGGATGACACGACTGTAGTGGGTCTCATTAGCAACAGAGATGAGACAAACTACAGGAGCGAGGTGAGCCGCCTGGCCGGGTGGTGCAGTGACAACAATCTCTCTCTGAATGTGGAGAAGACGAAGGAGATTGTTGTTGACTTCAGGAGAGTGCGCACTCAGCATGCTCCTCTGACCGTCAATGGTGCAACTGTGGAGAGAGTGAGCAGCACCAAGTTCCTGGGTGTGCACATCACAGAGGATCTCTCCTGGACTGACAACACCGCAGCACTGGCCAAGAAAGCACAGCAGCGTCTCTACTTCCGCAAACTAAGAAGAGCCAGAGCCCCGGCCTCCATCATGTGCACCTTCTACAGAGGCACCATCGAGAGCATCCTGACCAGCTGCATCACTGTGTGGTATGGCGCCTGCAACGCGTCCTGCCGCAAGTCACTTCAACGAATAGTGAGAGCAGCTGAGAAGATTGTTGGTGTCTCTCTCCTCTCCCTCCAGGATATTTATGGAACCTGTCTCACCCGCAAAGCCCTCTGCATTGCAGGTGATCCCACCCACCTGACACACAGCTTCTTTAGTTTGCTGCCATCAGGGAGGAGACTGCGGAGTCTCCAGGCCAGGACCAGCAGACTGAAGGATAGCTTCATTCATCAGGCTGTCAGGAAGCTGAACTCCCTCCCGACCTTGCCCCCTCTCCCCTCTTTTGTCCCATGCACCACTGAACTCTGAACCTCAGACCCCTCCCAGCTCCCAGATCCCCAGGTCCTTCCACTCCCCCCTCCCACTGACACACTGGGACCTGCACCAGTCACTTTGTGCAGCACTGGTCTGCTCACTACCTAATTCAGCATTGAACTGACCTCATTCAACTCTTCTGACAGTTTAAATAAAGAACTGCTCTCTGAGCTTTTTGTCACTTTAATCAAAATACTGTAAGCTCTTTTGCACTACAATCATTATATCTGCACTGTTTGTTTACTTCACTGGTTTGCACTCTATCTGCCATGTGCCTTGTGCTGCTTTATTTAGTTATTTTTTTACATGACCTTTTTGTAAATTTGTATAGTTGTATTTTATTCATAATCTGTATATCTGTATTTATGTTCTACTGTCAGTGTTATCTGTATGCACCAAGGGTCTGAGAGTAACGCAATTTCAATTCTCTGTGTGTATGTGCTGTACATGTGGAAGAATTGACAATAAAGCAGACTTGACTTGACTCAAGTACTAGCTTATGTAAATACATATGCATATTTTTTGTATTTATACAACTGTATATAGAGTAAATAATGCAGAAATCTGTACACAAATCTTCTGTTCCAGATTCTTTTTTTGTCTTATTTAAATGTTCTTTCTGTTCTCATGCCAGATATGTATGTATGCATGTATGCACCAAGAGCTCCTTAAAAAACTGAACGAGAAGCGGGTGACGCATTTAAGGGGCCGTGTTTTTTTGTTTTTTTTTTGCCAAGGACCATCACGCAGGGACAGCGAGCAGCCAGTGGCCCATTGGATTGTCTCCTGTATTGACAGCGTAAACCATCCAATCACAATGCGCTATAGACAGAGCGATGAAGTATTTTGCTCCGCCTATATAAAGATCGCTTCACTCCAACTTCTTCCTCGTCGGCTTTTCCCACGTTTTTACAGCAGATTTACCAAGAACATGCTTGCTCTGCGGTGAGTGATGCGGGCCAAAGAGCCAGCCAGGAAGAGGAGAGGAGAGTAGTTGAATCGGTAAAGTGCTTGATAGGGACTCGCAACGGAGGCAGGCATCTAACCTACCCTAATGTGTGTGCATGCCATGAGTGTAGAATACATTACAGAGATGGGCACTCGAGTTAGTGACACAGACTAGTCGCGTTTTTATAGACTTCAGAGTTGACTCAGATTCAACCTGAAATGACTCCAGACTTGACTCGACTCGAGGAAAATGACTCGTGAAAATTTTATAAGCAACTCGACCTCTGGTGGTGAGTTAAGTGTACTGTACTGGATTCACACACATTTGACCTAAAAACATCAAACCATCCCAGTCACTAATATTGACACGAGATACATCATGTACTGCAAAAGAATCAGAGATTCACTAGAATGCTCTCAACACAAATAACCTACTGTTTCATTTGAATCAGCTTCATGCTTCATAGATTCAAAACAGTCTTAATTTATAGACTTAAGGCAAACTAAATAGACTGACCATCCATTCATGAAGAGTTCCCACCTGTGACCTGAGATGCTGGGAAAGTATACAGGATCCCCACAATTCTACAGAGGATAAGCTGTTTGTGTAGAATGGGTTGATGGAGTATCATTTACAGAAACATTACTCTGTCCTGACAAATGAAAGAAGTTAATTTAATTTAAAAAAATGCAAATTTATAAGGTATCACATCTGCCTTAATTTTTGATGACAATTCTACTGCCATAAATGACAAATTATTTTTGTATCTGAAGGGTTGAGCAATATTGAGTTCAAAAAGAAAAATACATTTTCTTAAAATAATAATATTTTTTTATTTGTCATTGCTTAATAAAAATGTCTGGTGGTGAGTTAAGTGTACTGTACTGGATTCACACACATTTGACCTAAAAACATCAAACCATCCCAGTCACTAATATTGACACGAGATACATCATGTACTGCAAAAGAATCAGAGATTCACTAGAATGCTCTCAACACAAATAACCTACTGTTTCATTTGAATCAGCTTCATGCTTCATAGATTCAAAACAGTCTTAATTTATAGACTTAAGGCAAACTAAATAGACTGACCATCCATTCATGAAGAGTTCCCACCTGTGACCTGAGATGCTGGGAAAGTATACAGGATCCCCACAATTCTACAGAGGATAAGCTGTTTGTGTAGAATGGGTTGATGGAGTATCATTTACAGAAACATTACTCTGTCCTGACAAATGAAAGAAGTTAATTTCATTTAAAAAAATGCAAATTTATAAGGTATCACATCTGCCTTAATTTTTGATGACAATTCTACTGCCATAAATGACAAATTATTTTTGTATCTGAAGGGTTGAGTTCAAAAAGAAAAATACATTTTCTTAAAATAATAATATTTTTTTATTTGTCATTGCTTAATAAAAATTAGATGAATGTCAATCATAAATTTCTTTGAATATTTCTTTCATTAACAGGATAAAATATCAGCACATAATAATGCTGAGCTCAAGACATAAGCTGATCACTGAATGTATTCAAGCTCTACAACTATGAGGGATTCTCAAACTTTCCTGATCATTGAGTCCCACAAAGACTAAATCTGACATGACTCTATTGAACAATCAGTTTGACTTGTAAGACAGACAGTTGAGAATGAGTGAAGGGGAATTGAGGCTGTACAGACATTTTTAATATAAATATTATATATTAACTTAAGACAAACAAAAACCAAGATACACTACCATTCAAAGGTTTGGGGTCAGCATTTTTTTTATATTTTTGAAAGAAGTCTCTTATGCTCCCCAAGGCTGCATTTATGTGGACAAAAATGACAATATGTGAAATATTATTACAATTTAAAACTGTTTTATTTTAATATATTCAAAAAATGTAATTTATTCCCGAGATGCAAAGCTGAATTTTCAGCATCATTACTCCAGTCTTCAGTGTCACATGATCCTTCAGAAATCATTCTAATATACTGATCTGCTGCTCAAGAAACATTTCTTGCTATTATCAATCTTTAAAACAGTTGTGCTGCTTTATATTTTTGTGGAATTTTTTTTGTGGAAAATGTTTTCAGAATTCTTTGATGAATAGGAAGTTCAACATTTAGTTGAAATAGATTTTTTTTTGTAATGTAGAAGTCCACTGTCACTTTTACTCAATTTAATGCACCCTTTCAGAATAAAATATTAATTTAAATAAATAATTAAATAACCCCAGACCTTTGAACAGTATAACTTAAAAGAATAAATAAAAGAAACATATCCTGAAAGAAAAAGAAAGTCACTTTTACACAGTTCACAGATTACTCCAGATATATGCTGTAATAGACAAACCACACTTAATCACAGATTAAAAAGTTTACAACTTGCTTCATGTATTTAGCTCATTAATTTGTTAATTATAGTGATGATTCAAAATAGTTTCAGTTAATGCATGGTTCATATATTTGTATTGAATGAGAAATGGAAAGTATTTACTTCGCCACATGACACTGGAGACAATGTACACATTAAATCCACTTAAGATGCTTTTCCTTCCCCAGATTCATACTTCAAACTAATATTGATCTTCTGCTAAGCTTAAAAAAATTTAATATTTAAAATTAAAATTAAACTATTGCTTTAGACAGGCACGTCAGTCCATGTGGACAAAAAGGGGCAATGGTTCGGGCCACTGTAGCCATTCCATATTACGTGTCCCTGACAGATATCAGCCTTCCACATTGGAATTTGACATGAAAAAGTGTATCTCAGTTGTTTCTCACAGGAAGCGGTTTAATTTCACATAGAGACACTGAACTACTAGAATAAAGCCCAAATCCAGCATAGAGGGGTTCAATGAATGTGGTGTTGAATGTGTGCAAGTAATTCTTTGATGAATAGGAAGTTCAACATTTAGTTGAAATAGATTTTTTTTTGTAATGTAGAAGTCCACTGTCACTTTTACTCAATTTAATGCACCCTTTCAGAATAAACTATTAATTTAAATAAATAATTAAATAACCCCAGACCTTTGAACAGTATAACTTAAAAGAATAAATAAAAGAAACATATCCTGAAAGAAAAAGAAAGTCACTTTTAGACAGTTCACAGATTACTCCAGATATATGCTGTAATAGACAAACCACACTTAATCACAGATTAAAAAGTTTACAACTTGCTTCATGTATTTAGCTCATTAATTTGTTAATTATAGTGATGATTCAAAATAGTTTCAGTTAATGCATGGTTCATATATTTGTACTGAATGAGAAATGGAAAGTATTTACTTCGCCACATGACACTGGAGACAATGTACACATTAAATCCACTTAAGATGCTTTTCCTTCCCCAGATTCATACTTCAAACTAATATTGATCTTCTGATAAGCTTAAAAAAATTAAGTATTTAAAATTAAAATTAAACTATTGCTTTAGACAGGCACGTCAGTCCATGTGGACAAAAAGGGGCAATGGTTCGGGCCACTGTAGCCATTCCATATTACGTGTCCCTGACAGATATCAGCCTTCCACATTGGAATTTGACATGAAAAAGTGACGCCAGGGCAATGGAATTTTAAAACACACGGTGTCTTGAGACACGTTTTTAAAAATGAAACATCCTTTAACTTTAAATAGTGTTTTAAAAACACAACGCTCATGCAAGACAGGCTGCAAAAGACATGACTGCAAATGTTAAAGACATCCCTCTAGCACATGATTATACAGAGGAAAAACAATGTCAAAGCAGCACAATGGAGTGCAAAAACAGGTACTGTGTAAACCGTAATTTACATAGTAACAGAGCAAGCACTTGCTAAGAACTGTTTCCTGAGCAAGAAACTAATGAGAAAGTTTTGTTACAAAGACAAAACTCCTGTTGAGCTGCATTCAAATGTCTGTGGTGTCTTATTTAAACCGAAGTCAACGTGTGCGTTTCTATTTACACACTGAAATTAAGATTAGCAGAGAGAGAAAGAGTTAGAGGTGTTTGAGTTAAAGACAAAGATAATGTGAGTGTGTTTCTTTCACTCAACAGTGTATCTCAGTTGTTTCTCACAGGAAGCGGATTCATTTCACATAGAGACACTGAACTACTAGAATAAAGCCCAAATCCAGCATAGAGGGGTTCAATGAATGTGGTGTTGAATGTGTGTAAGGGTGTGAGTGTGTGTGTGTCAGAGATGCTGTAGAAGGACAGACGACCGGCTGAACAGTCCAGATACACTCCTACTCTGTTAGAGTGATGTGAAGGGGCAGATATGACTGTGATCTTATTATTGTATTTAGCAGTGAAACTGTTTTTAATGCAGATCAAACTCCAGGACTTTTTATTGTATCCAAACCAACAGTCATTACTCCTTCCTTTCCTGCTGATTCCTTTATATGTCACTGATATATTAACCCCTTCCTTCCCACTCCATTCAATCTCCCAGTAACAGCATCCAGTCAGACTCTCTCTACACAGAACCTGATGACACTCATCAAATCTGTCTGGATGATCAGGATACGGCTGCTTCTCTGTTCCAAGCGTCACCTTTCTGTTCCTCTCAGACAGAGTTAGGTGAGTGTTTACTGTGTTTAAATCCAGTGTGAGATCACATGTATCTGAACACAAGAAGAAGAATCACATTTATAACAACAATGAAATAAAATCAAATTGTTGTAGGATTAGGGTATAGAAAATATGAATCACTCACAATTTAAAAAGAAAAGTGTATAAACTTACATTTCTTTGGTGCTGTTCTAATCCTGATGTCTCCTGCATGATCCACACTATAAAAACAAAAATAAAGGGAAAACAATTAAAATCCATACACTTAAATATTTAAAATACTTATTATTACTACTATTAAATCGCACAATATTTTTAGTTTCTAAATTAAAAATAGGTTTAAGTCAGGGAGATCTATCAAACTCTGCATGAAGAATTTTTGTCTGAAATATATAATATTGTTATATCAGGGTTTCTGCAGACCTGAACAAGTTAATTTTAAGACTTTTTAAGACCTTTTTAATACCACCTTATATGAAATTTAAGACCTAAACCTGTAATGGAAATACACATTTTATTACATACATATATGTAATATTTAATGTGTATAAATTAAAAAGAAAACAAAATATCAATGCTGTAATATTTATTACTATGGATGTATGCATCATCTTACCTGTCAAATTATTACAATTTATCAATAAATTAAATATACATTATAGGGCTGCTACCAGTCAGATTAAATAATTTACACTGCAAATAACAATAATTACAACTGCAATAAATAATGTTATGAGATTAATTCATTTATGAATACACAAATAAGAAATGTTGAGGGGAAAAATACTTTTCATACTTTTCAACATACTTCTCAACTGAACTGTAAGACACTTAATGAGTGAGTCATTGAGTCATTCATTCAACTGATTGAGTGTGTTATCATGCTGGTATCTTAAGGACTTTCGTGGACAGCTGACTCCTAAAGTTTTTGATATTCTTCATATTCTGTGTGGTGGTCAGATAAGTTTAAATAGATTTTTACCTTTTATGGGCATTTTACCTTTATAAAGCCATTTTTCTATAAGTGTGCATTATCTTTTGAGTCAAATTCTTACATTTAATCGTTCAATAGAATAATAAGTCATTTGGGCCGTTACCAAGCAAATGAAATCAGTATCAACAAAATTCATCTTTGCAATCCAGACATAAGCTGCACCTGAAGTGGCATTTAGATGTGTTTACACACTGTTTAATGCAGGACATGAATGCATTTAACCTGCAGTTACAAATGCATAAATAATGTTTGGATATATTAAACATAAAACATTGAATACTGATATTTGAAATAATTTAAAAAATGAAAAGATACTTTAAATGTGAAATTTAAAGCGCCAGTAGGTGGCAGTAAGTCACTGTTAAGTGAGTCATTGCGATTGAACCGAATCATTTAAACGGTTGATTCATTCAGGAACAAAACACTGTCATGTTGCTCAGAGACACAAAACAGCACTGTGGCTTTGTTTGGAATTATTTTTGTTGGCGAAATAGAGCAAAAACAG